CCTAGAGGAAACACTGCAACTAACTTATTTCACTTGTCTTTTTGCAGTTAATATGAACTATAGATTGTAAATACTACACTAAATTAATTAAACGAATAGTCAATAAATCAACTGATCAGTGCAGCTCTTAAGTTTCCAAAGTGGAGTGACAATTCTTTTGTCTGAGTTTGGACATATTGTAACATACATGCCTATAAATCAGACGTCGTAGTTTGTAGCATCATTTCACATGTACAGACAGAAAAAGTTGGAGGAATGGACTTCTAAATTGTAATGCAGATTCTTTTTTAATTGGATTGCATTGCTAGGAAACAGGTGATTAGCTGTTTACATTAGAAAATGCAGGAAACAGAACATCTGTTGAGAGTGTGATTAAAACCTCAGAAACCTCTAAAAATGTCGTTGGTGTGTAGCCTTCTTTTATTTTTACACATGGCTATCCAAAAGCCTGCCTCCGTTTAATTTATGTTTTTACTTTTTTTCCTGTGAAAGGTACAAGTACACCTACATGGAGGAGATGCTGGGCAACGTGGCCGGCTGCAGGCAGGTGTTTGAGCGCTGGATGGAATGGGAGCCTGATGAGCAGGCCTGGCACTCCTACATCAACTTTGAGCTCCGCTACAAGGAGGTGGACAAAGCTCGCACCATTTATGAGCGATATATCCTTTTGTTGGTGTTTTCATGTGTTGTGTTCTGAGTAATAACCCACTGAGATGAGGGGTCTCTGACTTCATGTTCATCATAGGAGATACAGGGCTGCCTGCACACTCCTCAAGCAAACAGAGGGACGCAGCAGCAACAAGGACTGTTAAAAAAAAAACTGATACGAAAACACACACAAGGAGGCACATTATGGTTCTCCCTCAAAGAATGTTGAAAGTTAATTTAGGCACCTAGCCATAAGCATAAACAAGCAGACATATTATTGGCATATATGTTGATGAAAACGCTTTTTTTTCCCCCCGGTGTATATAATGTAGAAGAAAATACTAGATACTATAAAATGTTGTGAAAAATGCTCATCACTGTTTCCCTGGCCAGAACCCAAGATGACATCTTCAAACAATATTATAAAACTGAGAAATGCAGTAAATCATCACTTTAAAGAAACTGGAACTAGATAATGTTTTGTGTTGTTGTTGTTGTTTTAAAATCTTTGTAATATGTTTTGTAGAAGTGCAACAATTAATCAAAATAGATTATCAAAATAGTTGCTGACTAATTTACTTTGGCTTGACTCATCCATCAATCACCTAACCTAATTATTTTAGCTCAACTCTGAACAGACGCACCAAAAGAAGACATCGGTGACAGTCTTTGTATTTTGATGGTATTTGTTTTTTTATGTAAAAACTCCTTAACTCCGCTGTACTCGTCATGGTTCACCCCGAAGTGAAGAACTGGATCAAGTATGCTCGTTTTGAGGAGAAGCATGGCTACATTGCTCACAGCAGGAAGGTGTACGAGAGGGCGGTGGAGTTCTTCGGAGAGGAACATGTGGATGAAAACCTCTTTGTGGCCTTCGCCAAGTTCGAAGAGACGCAGAAAGAGGTTTGTGCAACATAGAACAAAACTAACCTGTAACATATTGTATGAATTAATTCATTGCTTCGTAACCAAACTTGTTGAATGACTGATTGTATGAAATGTCCCTTCCTTTACAGTTTGAACGTGTTCGGGTGATCTATAAGTATGCTTTGGACAGAATTCCTAAACATCAGGCACAAGAGCTCTTCAAGTACTACACGATGTTCGAGAAGAAGTTCGGAGACCGGAGGGGAATCGAGGATGTCATCGTCAGCAAGCGAAGGTTCCAGTACGAGGAGGAAGTCAAGGTATTTACAATATGAAGTTGTAGAAAATCTATATGGTCACACTCAAATATTTATAAAAATCAGAAGCTCTTCATCTGTGATTCACATGAATTAATGCTAAGATTTAGTTATATCTTGATTTTTTAAATAATCAATCTGATATCATAATCGTGAATCGTGAATTAGGTTTAGGGGCATTCACACCAAGAACAATTAGTATAACAGTAACGATGTTTGCATCCACACTAATGAACGATAATCCCCCATGAAACAAATAAACCTGACCTAAAACAAGTGAGGTTATGTTACATTACCTGTTTTAAGAGAAAATATATCTTAAGAAGTGTTGACAGAGTACAAACATACATAAAAGTTACTTCCTTTATTCACTGACATTTTTCTATCAGGCGAACCCACACAACTACGACGCATGGTTTGATTACCTCCGCCTGGTGGAGAACGACGCTGACCCCGACACAGTGAGAGAGGTTTATGAGAGAGCCATCGCCAATATCCCCCCAATCCAGGAGAAGAGACACTGGAAACGATACATCTATCTGTGGATCAACTACTCTCTGTATGAAGAGCTGGAGGTCAAGGTCGGTTCACTCGCTTTTCTTCTTCATCATCATCATCATCATCAACCTTCATTTCCCTTCAAGAGACTAAGGAGAGAGGAATCATGTATATTGATGAGTTAGAAAAAAAACAAAATAAAAAAAACTTAGCTGACCTGCAATTATTTTCTAATGAATTAAGAAGCCATTTCAAAGAGAAACAAATGAGAAATCAACAGTAAGCTCTGCTAATTATGTTGGATGTATGTTCATTCTTTATTTAATCTTTTTGTCAGGATCCTGAGAGAACACGACAGGTGTACCAGGCCTGTCTGGATCTCATCCCGCATAAAAAGGTAAATTTATTTTTTGCCCTTTCTTAGAATGATTGTTTTTTTGTTTTGAAAAAATAGTGTTTCTGAACTAAAACAGAATGCTTGTATAGTCAATATAGTGGTTAAACTTTTGGTTCTATTATTACCAGATTCCAATAATCTTATGTTTTCATTTCAGTTCACATTTGCTAAGATTTGGCTGCTATATGCTCAGTTTGAGATCCGACAGAAGAATCTGCAGGGAGCCAGAAAGGTCATGGTAAGATTCACCAGAACTGATGGGTTGTCAAAATAATAAATAATGATAATAATAATAATAATAATAAATTAGTAAGTCTAGTTTTATTAGAGTTTAATCTGTTCTGATATTAACTGTGTTACATTTACGTAAATGTTTTCTGCGTCTCTCCATTTTAATTTTACTTTCTTTAACCAGGTTTAACCAACCATCGTTGTTTCTCTTCTCAGGGTACAGCGATCGGTAAATGCCCGAAGAACAAGCTGCTGAAGGGCTACATCGAGCTGGAGCTGCAGCTGCGTGAGTTTGACCGCTGCAGGAAGCTGTACGAGAAATACCTGGAGTTCAGTCCGGAGAACTGCACCACCTGGATCAAGTTCGCAGAGCTGGAGACAATCCTGGGAGACATGGAAAGAGCCCGAGGCATCTTCGAACTCGCCATCGGACAGCCACGACTGGACATGCCAGAGGTATTGATAACCGATCTCTTCAACCAAACACTGGCACCATCTAGTAGAGGGGCTTTGGGATTTATCCTGCTCGGTCTACCATTTGCCTGAATCCATGTCAGCGCAGCACAACAGTTTTTTTTTCCTCAGAGTTCTTCTGTCATCTTTTCAGGTGCTGTGGAAGTCCTACATTGACTTTGAGATTGAGCAGGAAGAGTTTGGAAACACCAGAAACCTTTACAAAAGGCTGCTGCAGCGCACCCAGCATGTCAAGGTAAGGACTGCAGTTTAGCTTTCTGTGCTCATTGAAAATCTGGGAAAAAATGCTTTCCAATCTGAGAAAGATTTGAAACTGATCCCAATTTTCTTAATGAACCAACCAAGTCATTACTCTGAGATGTGACTCCTCTTCTTCTGGTGCAGGTTTGGATTAGCTACGCCAAGTTTGAGCTGTCCATCGACAGCAGCGACAGGCTGCAGAGGTGCCGGCAGATCTTTGAGGAGGCCAACAAGAGCATGAGGAACTGCGAGGAGAAGGAGGAGCGGCTGATGCTGCTCGAGTCCTGGAGCGACTTTGAGAAGGAGTTTGGCTCCGACACCACCATGGAGAGGGTCAGGAATCTGCTGCCGGAGAAGGTGAAGAAGAGGAGAAAGCTGACGGCGGAGGACGGGGTAAGAACTGGACGTCGACCAGCAAACCAGTTTATAACGGAGCGCTGTGATGTTATATTGAAGACGCAACAGAATGTCATTTGCAGTGTTATTTATCTATTTAAGATAAAATTTTAGTCTTGATCTGATGGGGAACAAATAGAGGTTATAAAGTATTTTGGCATTATGGTTTTATAATTATATCCATGCCAACAAAGCTTGGTAATCAATGTATTTTTTTAAGTTATTTATCAAAGAAAAATAAACCTGTTTTGGTTTCAGCCTCTAAAATATGAGTATTTGAATATCATTGTAAACTGAATATCTCTGGTTGTTGGACAAAACAAGAAATTTCAATTACTTCACTGTGTTTTACATTTTAAAGACACATTGACTAATTTAATAAAGTCTTAGCTTCAGCCTGTCATAGGTATTAATCACAATATCTGTTCCTGATTCTTTCAGTCGGACGCAGGTTGGGAAGAGTACTACGACTACATCTTCCCAGAGGACGCCGCCAACCAGCCCAATCTCAAACTGCTGGCCATGGCGAAGATGTGGAAGAGGCAGCAGATAGTGGAAGAGGACAAGGACGTTCCAGAAGAATCTCCATCGGCTGAAGAGACGACATCGCCGGCGTCCTCCGACGAACCTGCAGCTCCTCCTGAAAACATGGCAGAGAAAAACGACTCCGACAGAAACACTGCGTCAGAAACAGAACAGGAGAAGACGTACGACGACCGAGATGATGATGATGATAGCAGCAGCAGTAGTAGTGAGAGTGACAGTAATGATGAAAATGATGGAGGGAAGGAGGTGAAAGAGAAGAAAGAGAACAAGAGCGGAGATGAAGATAAGGATTAGATTTATGTTTTTGTCCTCCGCTCAGCGACAAGAGTCCATCCTGGATTGATTTTTCTACTGATGTTTTTTTTTACAAAAACAACAAAACCAGCTCACAGGCAGTCTTTATTGTATGACCATGTTTTCTTTGCCACTGTGTCATTATACATACATCAATTCAAACTCGCTTGTTGTCTTACTTCTTAAGCAAAAGTTAATTTAGAATTTACAGGAAATGAATGGGTATCCGATCAATTAGGAAATTAAAAATGTGTACAACCAGTGGCTCTCTGACTAAGCACTGAGAAATGATGAGCAGTTTAACTATGTACAATGTAACCGAGCAAGACCTGTAATTACATATAATTCACATGTGATTATCAGGACACACAGCAGAGCGTCAGAGAGCCACAGTCTACTGTTATTCAATGTCTTCTGGTCTGACAGGATGTGGCAGCGGGATGATCGACTTCTTCTCTGTGTCTCTGGACAGAGCTTTCCTCATATCTACAAGGAGGGGGAAAAAAATATATTGTCAGTTATTTTGTTCTGGAGAAACAGCGCCCTCTTCTGCTTTCTGTGATAAAGCCATATACATCTTCAGCACAATTTGTTTATAATGCTCTGGAGTTTGATAAGTGGAGTGTGATAATTGAAAGTCATCGAAATACAGTAAAATGTGAGTTTCCCTCCAGTGGATTTTGCTTTATTTGTTTTCTGAAACTTCTGCTGAAGCCCCAGTACAATTGAGGTTAATACAATTGTATCTGTGCTGCTCAAAACTTTGAAAATTAAAAAGGAACCTCAACAGAAGATTATTTCTTCAGTTTCAATGAAAACACCAGGATGTTTCCCAAAAAGAAATGTTGGTGTTGAATTTTTTTAATACTTTGAGCAACAGAAACTAAATTCCATTCACCTCCATTGTATTAGGTAAGCAGACATCTAAAAAAAAAATAACTATTTGCAGGCATGGACACAACTAAAGGTAGTTAAGAAAATTGTTCATAATTTGAGTTAACTTGGCCCTTTAAATGCAGAACACTGACATTCAAGATATTTATTTAAGGTTCTCTCAGACTGCCACCTCCACTGCTTTCACTTGCTGTACTTTATGTAACCAACTACTGTACGAGACCTCAGACTACATCTGCACCAACCCTGCTGAATCAGTTTATCGACACAAACCTGGATTTTGGTTTTTTTGAGAACCCCTAAAAACAAAGCTTTCCCAAAATGCCAGCCCTGTGTTTTAGATGGGCCATAGTCTGAGGCTGCTTTCCAGATTACACTTTTTCTTTTCACTTTCCGTGCTGCAGCTGTCCTTAAAAAGTACATACTGTTTAATGCAGTATTATTACAATTGGGACATACTACTTCTTCATAACATTACACCCTGAATTTTTTTGCCTTTTCCTCATACATCTGCCAAATTTGAAAAAGTATGCTATTTGGAACGGGTTACTACCCTTGGAGAGGAGAAACAACAAAACACTATTTGCCGAGCTCACCAGAAAGTTCTGCTGTTGTTATTTTGTAATGTATGCAACATGCAGCATTATATTGGCGACAGTAAAATGACATCTCTGTCTGGCTTGCATACTTCAAAGTACGACTGGATGCAGTACAATATCCTGGTATTTTTAGCGTACTGCATGTGACATACTGTACAGTATGGTAGAATAGGTGAGAGTCTGCAGAGCAGTCTTTAATGCAAGAAGAGTCACATGATCCCTTCATTATTATATTTGGTTATTTTGGTTTCAGTTTCAAGAGCTCAGTAGCTTTTGAGTGTTTGGTAGACGACTCAAGTTTCACACCATCACCTAAACGCACCACAGTGTCAGATGTTTCATATCCATCAGTACTTTCAGTTACATTACCACTCAACAGGTGATTTAAAGGACCAGTGTGTATGATTTAATGGCATCTAGCGGTGAAGTTGCAGATTGCAAACTAACTAAACACTGCTGGCATCTGTACTCGACAACCTGGGAATATATATTATATATTTTTTTTCACTTATTGTCTGGTTTCCGTTTTGATAACTCCTCTCACCGTATGCGTCTTCATCAGGTTCTCCGTTGCTAGCCGAGTAATACTCGATCACCGTCCTGTAGACGCTGTAGCCCAGACGTTTGTACATGTTCACCGCCACTTGGTTGGAGACTCGTACGAAGAGATCCACGAAGAATCCGCCCTTCCTACAAGACGACATTAAAAGTCACAGTAAGCCCTCCATGATGGTGAAATAACTTCCCTCAGCTCCTAAACCTCAACATCTGTTACTGCATAGAAGGTGATTTTCAGAATAAAAGTATCAGAACAAAGGGTATTGATGTGTTGAGGGAATTTTAACACAAAAAGCTTTAAAACCTCACGCATTGAGGGAAATGTGTATTGAAAAAGAGTTGTGATGTTTCCTGGGCATTGATCGTCAAACATTCATTTGTGTAATTTTGGTTGAGAGCTGATGGACAAATGTAGAAAGGAAAAACTAAATTTAGAAAGAATTCAAGAAAATTTGGAGTTTAGAATAAAATTTCATCAGATTTTAGGGATCTTACACATTTTTGTTTCCCACATCTTAACACAAACTAATCTCAAAAAGCTGTGTATGCACACTCTGCTTAAATATATTTTTGTTCCAGTATTTGCAGATTTTAACTTTTTTAAACTAAATTTTAATTTGGGATATTCCTTCAATTATCAGTCCAACATTGTGTTTTGTTGTTACGGTCCAGTATGGGCCGTATACTCTGGAAAACGATGGTACAAACCTCTCTGAGATTTCCTCCAGCATCTCCATGAGTTTGGCGGCGAGGCCGAGTCTTCTGAACTCAGGGGCCACAGACAGAGCGGTGACATGACCGTGCCACTCCTCCCGAGCCACAGATCCCTCCGCCTTCCCCATGACTGCAAGCAAGCAACGAGTCAGAGTCACATGAGCTTTATTGAGTTTATTGTACTAAACCCAAAAAGAAAAAAAAAAAAAGAAAAACATAAAGAAGTATGCTGATAAAGTGAAATGTGTGGCTGTTATGTTAGATTAATAAACCAAAGACAGCTCACTTCAAATCTGAAATCCGATGTTCTTCCTTTCACCTTAATAATGAAATTATTTTCAAATGATTCAGGATTTTTAAAGCGTAATAGAGCATTTCATATGAGACACTTAATGCAGCTTTTAATGAGCAATTTGATAAGAACAGAAACATATGTCCAAAGGGCAAAACACATGAAATGTTCAACATTTATGAGACAGTAAATGTTTAGAAGATTGTACTTCATTAAACTTTCTGATTAACATGTCATCATATCGACTGACCACCAGATGGCGATAAAGTTATTCCCCAGCTTTTAATTCATGTTTTAATCGTTCACTTATTTCTATTTTTTGTCTCCCAGGGAACATTATACTTGTTGATCGGATTCTGCTCGAATATATTTGTTGTTGACATTGCTTTGTCGTCGTGTACAGTTGGTTTAAAATCCAACCAGGAAGAGATAAATGGTTCTAGAATTCTAAACATTCTACCACCAGCAGTTGGAACGTTCTGTTGCTAGTAGCAACCACTTCTGCCGCAGTTCCATAGCAACGGTAGTTTAAGTGACATTGTTACATCATTGGGGGTTTGTTCTAGAAACGAAAACAGGGTTTAGTTTGTTAACTCTGAGTCGAGGGAAAACGTTTCAGTTTGCCATGGTAACTGAGTCTGTGTCCTCCTCTCTGTCCAGACCCTGAAGGAGCTGTTTGTTTACTCATTCACACAGTCCACGTAGACCCCCAGATCTGGGACCAAACTAACTGGCAGCCATCTTTTGGACCATTATCTGTATGCAATCCATTTATTATTGATCTTACATTGTTTGTGTAATATAAAAATAGTAACATAAAAGTAAACTGTTGATTTACTGAAAGGCTACTGTTGATTATGTATAATACTTTTACTCGTGAGTATATTAATACCATGCTGTACCTCCTAGGGAGATTTGATGTTCTTTCACTACAATACATGTAACTCTTGTTTATGGTATCTCATCTTCTGTCCGTAACAAACCAAAACTCAATGGCACCAAATGTGACGTAACAAGGATGATGGATCTGGTTTATTCTTTCTTCCTACGTATGACATTATTTTTACTTTATTATTTATTATTACTATGTTGTTTTTTCGAAAAGCATGCACAGCCAAGGCTTTTATGGTCTGTTGTTATGTCTACACTTTTTGTATATTGCCTTCATATACCATAATTAAAACAGAATTAGTTATGGAATGGGTACAAAAAGGACATTTAGTTTCTTGCCAACAACAGGTAAATGTGATTAATGTGTGCTAAAAGTTTTTAAAAAACCAGAGGAAAATCTATTCAAGAGGAGATTGATTGTGAAAACCTCATGTGGTGCACAATGTAAGTCTGTTCAAGTACATAGAATGAAAACAAATGGTTAAGTGAAGTAAGCAAAGTTAAATTCTCTTATTAAAAAAGGGACAATCTCACCACCACTCAACCATCCAATGCAATAAAATATTAAAATCTGACAAGAGGACTTACTGTAGCCCATCAGTTCACCACCGGGAGCCTCAGCAACGATGAAGTACTCCGGCCAGTGGGCAAGGTACTGGAGGTAAAATGGGATCCCATACTGGAGGTGAAGAGTTAAAGAAAACTACAGACTTCTGTTCCATATAAAACATACAGATATTAGAAACACTCCTCTGTATAACACAATACAGTTCAACAGCAGCACCAACTACTTGATCCACTTATTAAACTGACAACTGAGTGTATATTAAATGTGATCATTTAATATAACCAGACCTAATGAAAGAGAGACTTATGAGGCTTATCAAGTTACATGTGAAATGACAGATGAGCTGATATTTCCATCTGAATATGAAGGATACAGTTTCTGTCAAAGGGTCCAGGTTGCTGTTAAACAAAACAGACAAACAACAGTTAGTTTTATCCCTCGTCAATAATAGTTATTCTAGGAGAATAGGGATATATTTTATAAAGATACAAACAATCCAAGGTAAGCAACATAAAATTACACCTGAACAACTGATCTGTATGGTTAAGGTCCTAGCTAGCTTAGCTACATAGCTAGCGTAAGCAGGCAAAGAGATTCAATTTTTCACGAAACCAGAGTTAAATAGCTGATTAAATCTATGCCGTTTTATTCAGAGGATATTATAAACTCACACTGTTTCAGTCAAGCACTAATAGGAATCATTTACTTTGGCAATAACAACGGCACTACCTTAATTCTCTATTTTTTTAAATGGAGTTTGGCACAGCATTCTTTCCAGCCAGCACTCTTATCTGTGGTCACACTGCTAACGCTGCCGCACATCAAAAACAAGGACGTGCGGATAACGTAACACAAGACAGCTGGTTAATAAACAGAGCCTACATAGTAAAACTGACAAGAGTTCACTCACATATTGTTGAATTTAAATAAATCATCGCAAGTAAATGGTCTCAATGTTGTCATCTTGGCTTGCTTGCTCTGTGTCCTTTCACCTCACAGAGGAAGAGACTCATTGGTTTACTTTAAAAGGCAGAAATAAAACGAGCAGCGCCCCCTGTCGAAACGGAGGTACTGCTTTAAAACAATATAGGAACAAATACTAACTCATGTGTAATGTGTATTTATATGAGTTTGGCCTGTTTTCAGTATTCAAGGTTGTGTTTTGCAGTGTTGCAATGTAACTAATACATTTAATTTAAGTGTCTGTTATTACTAGTATTTAAGTAGGCTACAAGTGTTCTTTATACTTCTACTCTACCACATCTAAGAGGCAAATATATCGTACATTATACTCCATTTGTCTAATAGCTTTAGTAACTAGTTACATTTCAGATTTTTATATCTTTAAAGTTCAGTAAAAACCATGAATCTCCAAATGTGTTGTTTATGAGTATTTGTAATAAACTGAAGTGTTCCTACTTTTTAATCTAAATAAACTATTTAAAAACCAAAGCTGAAAAGTCAAGGAAAGTTCACTTTTTAGAGATACGTGGTTCTCACTGGACAGCGACACTATAAACATATGATGGTCTTAAATATGATGTGATGCATTGCTGTAGATCAAAGCATATAAATAGTTTAAATTAAATCAGCCTTACACATTTAGAGCAGTAAAATGCAACATACATATTAATGCAAGGATTTCAAAACTTTCTTTTCCTTTCATCCAGAACACAATATGTTTTTTTCTTCCAGTGATTAAATATTCAGCATTTTCATCAAAGTTTGACTTCACTGGTAATCCTGTTCGTTATCACCATCTGCTGTTAAAATAAAGAACAACATCTAAAAACATCTAAAACTAACATTAAATCTGCTTTTCATCACAGTTAAACTGGATACGAACCACTGACACTAAAGGGAAAATGACAACTTCATGTTTATGCGGGTGCACACACTTTAATTTTCATGTACCAAACAATAACATTAGCTGGGAGTACTAATTTACATAAAACTTGAATTGCATTCTCGTGTGTGTGTGTGTGTGTGTGTGTGTGATTAAGCGATTACATTTTCTTTTAATCAGTCTTGCATGTCTGTTACATTGGGCTAATCTGTTCTTGACATGTGAGTTAAGAGATCCTGAGCTGTTCCTCAAAACAATTATTGGCCCCTTTCCAGTGCCAGAGGTGCTTTAAAAGGGTTTACAATAGTTTATAAAAAAGAACATGTCAGTACAACCTTTGTAGCTCCAGACTTTCTGCACATTGAGTGCAAATCATTTTTCCCTCACAGGCTAAAACTAAAAAAAATGTGAGTGCTTGGCAAGGTACAGTAGCTTCTGTAGGGGTGTTAAATGCTCCTCTTTCAATGATGCAGCTTGAGGCGAACCTGTCAGCACATCGCATGTCTTCATTGACGAGTCTGGGAAATCCTTCTTAGAAAAAAGTACCTTGTTTTCGTGACAGCAAGGAGATAACAAGAGGAAGCACTCAGGATACACTGGATCTTTGACACATTTTGCCTATGCCTTTTTAATTGTAACACAAATTGTGTTGATAGAGCACACAGTTATTTATTCTATTTCACCCCTTCAAAAAGTAACTTTAAATTACTTTGCTTCATTGTACATTAATATTATATAAATAAAAAATAGTGCTGTATAGATTTTACATCAGTATACGGTATAGTATTTATACAGTATATCTTTACTATATTCTTTTGGTTAAGTAAGTTCTAAGTTGTAAGTTTTAACTGAACTGCCTGTTGTTTCTTGATGCACCTTTAAGATTAGGCTTCTTTGAAAAATAGGTCAGTATCTCTATAAAAGCCATCTAGCTATACAAAAATAAAACAGCATGATCAGTAAATAGCTCTAAGTTATCCATGTGAATGAGTGTAAATATGTCCAGACAAAGTGATAGAAAGTGGTGACACATCTATGATGTATCACTGCTTTTTATCTAGTGTATGCTTGGATAGGCTGCAGCCCCCCAGCCATGACCCTGAGGAGGAATATTAAGGAATAGAAAGAATAGAAAACATATGGATTGATTATGGCTGAGATATTATAAAAGTCAGCTTCCTATATGTTGAAAACAATTGTGTTTTAGCTTTTGTTGCGCCAATCACAAGCGTCCACTGTTGCAATCCCATTTGCCTTTTGATTATACCTAATTGTTAAACTGTGTCCCTGTGAACCCAGCAGACGTCATTACAGCGTTGCTTTTGTCATCCATTTATGGGTTTGTTTTTCTTCCCAACATAATGGGTAACCAATGGACTTAGAACATCTCTCACAGGTATAGTAATCCACCGCAACTCCAGTTGCTCTGCTAATCCTCCACTGACACAAATGCACATTCACAGGAAGACACACACAGATACAGTCCAACATCACGTGACCAGCTTAGGCAATAAAGCCAAGGCTTTATATACTACCTATAGGGGCTGCTCTCCCTCCAGGGAGATCATTGCAGTGCAGGTGTCTGTTGGTGTATCTGAGTGAGGGAGCAAGGACAGTGTCTGCGGACACAGGGGAGAGCTGCCACACTCAGCTTGGTGGAGCAGATCCAGGCCAGAGAGACACAGAAGGCAAAGGAGCAAAGGGATTCACAGGGATAAAGTTGCCTAGCAGAAAGTCCTGAGGGCTGCTTGCAGAGGGGTTTCTTGTGGTCTCAGCTGTGAAGCACTGGAGAGAACAACAACAACAATGTTTTTTCGCATCCCTCGACTGACCCCTGGATATATTAGATACCTCCAGGTGGGTAAAGCGCTTTAGGGCGATTTTCTTCTTTAGATAGATTAATGATTAGTCTTGGACATCAAGGGACATCTGCAGTGGTGCAACAGTTGAGCAAATTCCGTTAGAGCCTCTAATAACAAACAACTTGAGCTCTAGAGCCTCGGCCCTGCACATCTCCCTGTCTAACCTGCTTCAGCAAAAATATGGTTGCATTGTAGCAGACAGAGCCGTTGTGTGTCGATTTTAAACATAATAAACCAAAGATTTTATTTAATACTGCTTTAATATTCATTAAATAGATCCTTTTATGCATACCTGAAGAAAAGTTAGACATAAAAAGAAATTAGATTTGTTTTGAACTGTCACTTTAAATTGATGCCTGACTCATCATTGTGCACAAAGTGCCCATTTGTGTCTGTGTCATGGCAGGATTTAGAATAGAGGATTACAGCATTTCTTTGAATGGATTTGAATCAGAGATGCCTTAGCTCCCCCAGGGTCAGGTAAATGCCTTCTAATTGGATCTCCAGAGGCCTAGCATGAGAGCCATGTTCCCAACCACCCTGCTGGGTATTTCAGAGACCTGCAGCTGGATTTAGGAGCTTACAGTGTGTTTGTTTTAAATGGGCCACCTCAAACTACATTATCTGTGTCTCAGCTCATCAGAGTTCATGTTAGATAATTCTCACTTGTTGATAAGATTCTGTTGCTGTCTGTGAAGATCATGTATCTCTAAAATGAATGAAACCATCAATGATCAGCTTTGTAACAATGCCATTTTCAAATATTCCATCAATGGGGTTTTAAATTGTTTTTTATTCACCCATCGGGAACATTCAAGAGCTTCAGTTTATATGAAAAATTCAAAACCACCACATTTGGAGACCCTTGATTTTCTCTGTCTAACATAAAAGTGATGAGCTAAGAAAATAACTGCGTTTATATCTGACTTTAGGACATATCTTGGATTGGCTCAAATTTCCGAGACGTCTCCAAACCCGCAGAGGACTGACACACACAGGCAATGACTGTATGAGTTGGTTCAGTGTGTATTGAAACATAATGGAGGTTGTAGTGCGGCTCTTCCCTTATGGTAAGACCATCGCTGGGATGAGACAGGTGTGTGACCAGTGTCACCTCTTTAAGGACTCTACTGCGGCCAGAGCCCGGAGGAATGCTGCTAACACACTGCCTTGGTCCCTGGCGCTGATCGCACCAGGTGGTGGCTGCCGTGGCTGCGTGGGTGGTGGTGACCCCTGCTTTCTCTTTCAGACGCAGGCAGCCCAGACTGTGCTGCAGAGCCGGGAGGCCCCTGTGATGGCACGCATGGCCGTCCTGCTGGGTTTCATGGGGATCGGCATGTCCGGCTACAGCTCCCGTCAACTCACACTGCACTACAAGCCGTCAAGTCACCTCTTTAGATGAGACGAATGGATATTTTACTTAAAGATAAAGTTTGACATTTTGGGAAATCCACTTTCTTGACTCCAAGCTGTTGCCAGGCAACAAGCGGAGACTTAGTTGAGAAGTTAGTTGTTATTAAGCAAGCTTCGACACATAACAGCAAATTGTCAATTTCACACTTCAGGAATAAAGAAGCAAGAGATAAGGTCCTAATTATTGAGCTTTAGAGATGCTGACAGGTGGATTTTATTTTCATTTCACAAACCCAAGCTAGCCTTTCCCATGTGTGTGGCCTATCTCACCAACCAAGCAAATAGTTGAGTTTATTTCCCAAAATGTCTAACTATTCCTTTAACAGCAACATTAAAAGATTACGACTGAGGGAGGCGATGCTACCAGGTTATATGTTTCTGCTTTTGTTTTTCTCTGTGCAACCCTACAGTATTTGTGGTTCAGGTTCAGTGTCATCCTTGTTCTGGGTCTCATTATGATTTTGTTGTGTCTGAGATGAAATGATTGTTGCCTTAAGGCTCAGTTTGTTCAGTAAATAGTAATATTCTCCCTGTTTGAAACTACCGCTCCTTTCAAGCACGGTGTAGTTTTGTTTCTTGTGTTTAATATGCAGTGAAACTGAAAGGCAGCTTTTGATGTGTCCGATGAACTTAGTTGATGTTACACTTGAACCACAATCCCTCCCCATGTCCCGTGCCTTATCATGGGAGTATTTACTCAGAATTTACCATGTAAAGGATATTTTTCAAATGCACCAATGGTCTTTAAAGACACTTTTGTAAACGCAGCTTGAGCTGAGCCCTTTAGAAATCTTCTTCAAAATCCTCCGTTTTTTAATCACCATTACTTTTCCCCTGGCATTTTCACAATTTCCATGATGTAACACAGAGCTGGCAGCTCCCTCCTCTTTCGGAGGACAGCCAGTGTTGCGACG